CAAACATTCAATCACAAGGCTGTGCTTGTATTCTGTTGTATACTGTTGGTGGTGGTGTAGCATCCCAAAGGCCTTCTGCTCATACATGTTTTTAGCAATAAAAATACATTGCCTGTTTGCTGCTCAGTGTAAGCAGAACAATAGAAATATGGAGATATGCATTGTCCATGCTGTGTCCTTATGGTATTAAGAATGATAAGATTTATTTTTCAGATGTTACTGGGGCAATGGTGGGACTTCAGAAACCTATTTTTTGCTGGACACGGACTATAAATACTTGAAGAGTTTTCCAGAACCTTAACTAGCATATGCCATGACATGTAAACTGAGCCTACATCCTGCTGTTTCCATCTGTTTTTTTTAGTATTAAGAATGATATGATTTATTTCTCAGAAGATGTTACTGGGGCAATGGTGGACTTCAGAAACCTATTTTTTGCTGGACACGGACTATAAATACTTGAAGAGTTTTCCAGAACCTTAACTAGCATATGCCATGACATGTAAACTGAGCCTACATCCTGCTGTTTCCATCTGTTTTTTTTAATAGTAGGTGGGTAGGCAGCTATTGCTTTGTGCAGCTTTCCTGAATTTTCTCCTGTGGTTCCCTGTTTTTTTAGACCATCATTCAGATACGAGTTGGAATAGCTGTTGTTTCTGTGTGGTACAGTGCTTTCAATGACTGATCAGATGAATTGTGAATTTGCCTTTGACCTCTGTAGCACCCATGGAAAAAAAGAAACAGGTCAAAGTGGCTCACTAGCATTTGGAAACTTGCATCAACTTTTAGCTTTTGGTGGGAAACAGAAACAGACAGGCAATGGGTCTAGTTTTTATTCAATAGAACTGGACAAATAAATATGCTGTGAATTGTACTTGTACGCTGCCAGCACAGACTACTTGATAAGCAGGAAAGATTTATGAGAATAAGCTTCTTGGGTACATCTTATTTCAAACTTGAGACTTTAGGATTAATTGAAAGTAATGCTTAAATCATACTAAATTTTTTCCTACTGTCTCCATCATTTTCTTAGAAAAAAAAATTGCCAGCTGAATGCTTTTACAGTCTTAAGTTGCCTTAAGTAATGCTTATGATTTGAAGTATTCTAGGAACTTAAGGGATACCATGGATGGATAAATCTGTTCTGCACAGAACTAGCTTTAAGCTAGTAAAATGTCTGAAAATCTTTCAGTAATTCCAATGTACAGCCACAAGATATAATTAAAATTTATTTGAAATCAGGTTATTTTCTAAGTTGTTCAGCTCCTGTCACATAACATCTTCATTTGCTTTGGTTGTGTTGGTGTATGATTAACACTCTTTTTTTCATTTGTGTTTTTGTTGTGGAGCCAGCAGAGTCTGGCTTTCATGTAGGTAATAACATCTGAACCTGTGACATGTGCTTCTCTTTGGGCAGTTCAGTAGATGTTTGCAAACAGGTACAGAAGAAAACAGAACAATTGCAGTTTAACTCTTTAGTGAGGATTGTCATTGCTGGACAGCTCTTTTGGCCTCAAGCATCTGGGCAACACAAACGGCTTTTCTTCCCTGAGGTTCTGTTTCAGAGACCGGTGGATAGACTGTGCAGAACACAGAATTCTTATTAGCTGGATGGGTGGAAGGGCTGTAATACTGGGGTGAAGGATACTTTTGGGATTTTATTAAAATCCTAGGGACATGTCAACTTACCTAGTCACCTGTGGTATGCACTTATTAACATCAACTTGTCTTTTTTTTTTTTATAATGGGCTTATTGATTTTGTGTAGATTTAGGGGAAGAGTGATGGCTCTAATCATATGAAAAAACAAAAGATGGAGCTTGTCTCTACCTACTTCTCACCTTTGTAAAGGAGCCCATGACGAATATGTAAAATAATGAATAGTACAAAACCAAAGTGAGCCAGTAGTGTCTTTTCCTGTCTTGTAATACAAAAAGCATAATGGACTGACTGAACAGATAATATTCTTTAAAACTCCAGAATTCTTTCACATAGTGGGTAATGTAGAGGCCTTCCTAGTTCACTAAAGGCTGAAGATTGTCAGGATTTCGAGGAGGCTAGGTTGCTTTCCTATGCCAAGGGGGATGACAAGTAATACAGAAGCAGATTTGGGTTGGGTTTGGAGGGGTTATAGTTCCTTCAACTATAACCCCCAGCTAATGAGGGGGTGTCAGTCTCATTATCTTGCCCTGCCCCTGTCTAGTTCCTTCTAGTCTCTCCATATGTAGCAGGATCTCACTACGTAGCTGTTGCATGCAGACCTTACGCAAGTCCTCGGTATTTTACTGATGCTTCAGGTCATCCTCCAACATTTGCTGCCTTTTTGCATGTTCTGCAGTAACCTGCTGCTTAGGCAAGAGACAGTGTGTGAAGCCATTTCTTAGTTTTGAAATCTGTTTTCTTGAATGCTTAAGAGGTCCAAGTGTGCTGACTCACCAGGCGCTTCTGAGTGTTGGGCTGCCGAGGCCCTGAGCAAAAACCTTTGTAGGCCACATGGTGTGTGAGATTGAGCTACTAAGTATAGAGGAGTTGTCTACTGATGGGATGGGGTTTTATTCAAATATAACTATTGTATACTGTCTTTCAGTTGGATACTGTCCTTAGTACTGATTACTTGTACATGTAATTTAACATTACTTTTCATCTTTAAATTGATTTTGAATAGCTTGTCAGTGTTGCAGTACCAGAAAACAAAAATCTGTAAAAAACTGTGTTTTATTGTAAAGTACTGTAAGAATACCTAATAGTATTTTTGAATTTTCAGCTTGCTAAGAACGTTGTGTGAAATATAGCCACCCAATGTAGCTAATTTTCAGGTGCTACCACTACAGAATTACATTTCCAAACTCAGTTTGTTCAAATGCATTTATGGAGTTACTTTACAAGGTACTGCTGAATAGAGTGGCTCTGTATTTTGAAGAATTCAAGATGGTAACTCCCAAAATGTTTTGCAGAGGTATTAACTGTGGAAAAACATCTAGATACTCTTGTGTACAATCAATGTTATTTCTTTCTTCAAATTAGTTACAGTTACAGTTTACAGTTGGAAAAAGTAAATAATTAAATCACGCTTGTGATTGGAAAAGAAAAATCTCAGCAGCTTGGCCTTCTGGCCTTTCAAACCTGGAGAAGATTTTCTCTTAAATAACAGTATGAGGGGAATAAGATGACTTGTGACCAGTCCTTTGTTTTACAGACACCCTCTGAAGTTCTGAGCATGTGCTTTGTTTTTTTGGAGAGCATGGCACAGGGAGCTGAAGCTGTTACAAAGAGCAGTGTAAGGTTTTTCAGTTGCATGACAACTGTAGCATTAGAAGCACATTTTCTTTTCCCATGAAAGGAAGTGTTTGTCCTTCTGAGAGATTTATAGACAGAAGAATAATAAAAAGAGTTATTAGATGGCTTACCTTCTAGACTGAGAAGGTATACTTTATGATACTAACATTTTTGGTGGAAGTGCACTTCTACCAGTATAACTCTGATACAAGTAGATTTTTTTTTTTCTGGAGCAGCTGTCCAAGTGGTTGATGACTGATTAATATTTCTGAGTAGTTTTCATGATAGATCAGGTCCAAAGAGCTAGAAGGTAAAATTTAAATAAATGTTGCCTTGTTTGAACAGAACTTAATTTGAAAACAGAAAATTGGTAGAAATAGAGAGAGGATATTTTTGGATAGAAAAGAGAAAAAAGTGTAATAGGCAACAGGAAAGAAGACTTCCAATATTTGAAAGGCAATGATGTTAATAATCCTTCAAGCAGGAGATGTGCTAAGTGACCTTTAGAGATTTCTTCCAAGTGATATTTCTGTTTAACGAGGGCACTCCTGAAATTTCTTGCTTGTGTAAAAGGTAGAGAAATTGAAGCAAAACTAAAACAGAAAGGATGAGTTAAGTGAATTTTATGTCTCTTTTTAAGCCATGTTTTCACATCTGGCTAGTTAAGCTTACACACCTAACCTTTTGAAACAGACAGGCAAAACTAACCTTTTAGTTTACAGGCCTGACTACAAGTGAAGTGATTTTAGAAAGTGGATAAATGAGAAAAATAGCTCCTGATATCTTAGAACCAAAGAAATACATTATCTGTCTCTGATTAGTTAAAAAATTTCTACGCTTTTCCTTTAAAAATATGTTTCTTAAGGCCGTGTTTGCAGATTGGTGTGAAAATGAAAATGGTTCTGAAACAATTACTGTTACCATTTGATTTATTTCACTTTCACAAAATCGAAGAGACGTTTCACTCTTAGACCTGTGTAAAATAGGACCCATTTACAGTATTTATAGAGCTTTTAAGAGTATGTGTATGTAGCTTTGAAAAGCCTGCTAAATTTTGACAGCCAAGGGTTCTCTGATTTTCTTTTCTTTTTTTTTTTTTTTGAGAGCATGATCAGAATACTGTGAAGGGTTTTGCAAATGCTTAAATGCAAAAGTTATGTGGGCCATGTGCACTCCTACAAGCTCTTCTTATCCAACTGTTACATATTCTCCCTTTCAGATGGAATCTCTGCCACTGGCCCTGAATTTAATTTCAGGGTATAGTTTTTTATTTCTCTGGAGTTCATCTTTTTACAGTATTTGGTCCATTTTAAATTTAAATCAGTTTAATAATTTCAACATGCTTAATGGCAGGTGGCAGAAAGGCAGACTATATAAGAAAGCCTTTTAATGTTTTAAAAGCTGTATAGGCCTTTCACTGAACCTGTACCTGCTGATTTAAAAATAAGTAGGTATTGAATGCATTTTCTTGTGGTGTTTAATGAAGTAGTGCTAGTCAGTAAGTTGCTTAGGGAATAAGTTTGATCAGTTCCATTTCCTATTGTTTCTTGCTTTAGGTAAGTGAAAGACTTAGATTTTGGACTCTTTGTAACAAAATCCCTAACACAATAGAAGTGTTTGTTTCAACTTCCATCAGCGAGTTGATAATGAGTACCATAGGGGGATAAACAATTTTAAGGATTTTAAAACATTGTTTTCTAAATTTCATTACTCTTTTTTTTATAGGTTGTATATGAGCAAGAAGGAGTTTTTATTCACTCCTCCTGTGGAAAAAATGATGACCAGGACAGCTTAATAGCAGGAATACTGCGTGTCATAGAAAAGGTATTTGCATAATACAGTTACAGAACTTTTGTGTATTTGTTGGCAAAGCACATAACAAGTTTGGCAAATCTTAAATGCCTTTTTAAAGTGTAGGATTTTGTACATGAACAAACATCACATTGTGTTTGACACTGTCATCATTTATATGTATATGTAAGTTTTAACATAGTCACACCATGACTATATACGGCAATAAGTACTTTGCTGTGTAGTGTTGAATTTTTTGTGATTTGTATTGTAGGAAAATGAAGTGGTAGTAGACTGGAGACCACTGGATGAGACTTTGGATACTTCTAATATTCTCTGTGCTGGAAAGGTTTGTTTGTTAGTTTTCAGTGTTCTTCATTATGTTTCTCTAGAGATTTTATTTTGTGTTAACTAATGCATAAGTGATTTCATAACTAGAAGCAAAGCTTATTTATTATTGGTAATAATAGCTATATGTAGGAATCTTATTTATAGACAGGAGGCCAGTTCAGGTTATTAGAATACATGTGTAGGTTGACTGTATTTAGTTTTTACTTGGTTCACAAATAAAATAGTAGGGGACTAACTATGAATAGTAAAGACCAAATGAGTGTAAATATATCACAGTTACCAGTCCCTCTCAATCTGCTGTGTTGTAGTTTGGTGATTCACTCTTCTTAGTTAGACACGAAAGTGAGAGGTGCTGTTCTAATGCAAAATAAAAATAGAAGTCTGTGGGGGTTACAGCAGTGATATGTGGTATTTAATCAGTATTAGGAGGATGTGACTAAATGAAAAAGATTCAAGTTTTACACTTAAATGAATAATTTGTTATGTTCATAGTGTCTGCAAGAGAGGCAAAGATATTTTAGGATGTTGGAATTTACTAAGTAAAACCTCATAGTGTTAGTCATAAGTCCAAATTTCCTGTGTTGAACTGTATCTTTTACAGAAACGGTATGTTTCTGAGGATTTCAATACATTTTCTTTTAATCTATGAAATAAAGATGCTGATTCTTCATGTTGAATCTGAGAAACCAGGTCAATTTTCATGCCTTGTGTTTTTTGATAGTTGCTTTTGTTGTTTCTCTCAGGATTCCAGTTCTGTTGTGGAGTGGACTCAAACTCCGAAAGAAAAATGTTCCCGAGGAGCAGATCGTCCAAGTAGTTATGAAGCAGAATGGGACATGGTCAGCACAGTCTCTTTTAAGAAGAAACCTCATTCAAATGGAGGTACTTAAAAAAAATTAAAAGTGGAGGGCTTTTATGTGTATACAGTGTTTTCTTCCATGATGGTAATTTGTAGCAAAAGAATTGCCTTTAAGAATAGCCTTTTTGGAAGGCTGGGATTCATTTGTGGTAAGAGATGAATCTCTGGGTGTGGAAAAAATTTCACAAGTGGAATAGCTGTCATCTGCTTCATTTTTTTCCTTAAATTGGTAGAGAATTGTATTGAAAAAGAACATTAAATCTAACTTCCTGCTTCATCATTAGATGTAGTAGCAGTTTTATCTGTGCTGCACTTGAATTTTTTAAAACAAGTGGAATTCAAACTTGGTGTTTTGTTAGAAATGAAAATGGAAAAATAAGTGGGTTACTACTCAAATGTCTTTCCATACTGCAGCAGCAGGGGGAGATGGAATCTACAGTTATGACATAGACGGGTCTTTAATATGGAGGGTCTTTAATATAAAAAATACCTTTTTATGTGAGCAAAATAATTCTATAGCTACAATATTTTTGTTATAGTGTCTCAGTAGAGATGTTGAAAAACAAGTTGTGATTAAAGAACAGTGATTCTCAAGTAATCACTGATTTTTCTCTGATTCTCACATACTCTTTTTTCTTTTATAATACTTGTTTTCCATGTATTATTTCACAGCATGTAACTGGGGATTATTGTGCTTTTTTTACTGTCTTTATAATGGTTTTAAATGTCATGTCTGTCATGTATGACTACAGGGTTTGGATGTCAGATCATGAATGTTTTCGAGTAAAGCACAGTCCTTGGCTTTTATGTATATACACACACATACACACAGAGCATCTCTGTTGGATAAATATGGTTTACCACATCTCTAGTTTGTATTGAATTTTCATCTCCAGTCAGCAGAGCATGTCTTTCATCCATAGTGAGTGTCACTGAGGACTACAGACTTGGATTATGCTCTTTGCCACTTCTTGCCTATTTCCAATTGCTGTAATGTGATGGGAGCAGGCCAGGGGGTGTCCCAAATTCCTTCTGGACATGCTGGCAATTTTGTGTCCTGTGGTAAAGTTTAATCCCTTTAATCCCTTCTCTTTGAATATATGGAATTTTGCACAGCATGTATGCAAGTTTGCACACTATAGGAGGAAAGGGTGAGGGGGAGATTTCCAATTCCTTTGCCCTTACTTTGGTAGCAGCCTTACATGACATGTGGCTGGTAACTGTGAGTAATATATAGGTTACAGGATTGTAGCACATACCATGTTTAGTTTGAGTAAGTAGCACTACCTGGTGGAGGTGCAGGTTGGATTTAGCTTGCTGCTGGAATTTGATAAAGCAGATGTACATTTAACTGCTTGATCACTTCTGTTGTCGGATCATAGAGTATTTTGAGTTGCAGGTGACCCACAGGGATCATCAAAGTCCAACTCTTGGCCCTGCACAGAACAACCCCAAGAATCACACCATGTACCTGACAGTGTTGTCCAAATGCTTCTTGAACTCCTGTTAAGCTTAATGCCGTGACCACTTCCCTGAGAGCCTGTTCCAGTGCCCAGCCATCCTCTGGGTGAAAAACCTTTTCCTATAAACTGTAGGTACAGTTTTAGGGGAGTAGCCTGATGGACTTATTGATTGTTTTACAAGTCTGTAGAAGACAAGGAGGCTCAAAGAGAAATTCAGAAATAGTAGTTACAGTGTGCATTTTATTATTAGAACCAATGCTGATGTTTACGTTTTGAATTTGTTTTTTAGAAACAGTGATAGATATAATGTGTTTATAATTGCTAACACTGAAAGTCAAACTGAAATCATGTGCTATTTTTGTTTTTAAGATGCTACAACTCATGCAAACAGAGAAAGCAAGTGGTCGTTCCTGTTCAGTTTGATAGATCTGAAATCAATCAAACAAAACAAAGAAGGCATGGGATGGTCTTATTTAGTGTTCTGTCTGAAGGATGATGTGAAGCTTCCAGCTCTTCACTTTCATCATGGAGATAGCAAATCATTGATTAAATGTCTTGAAAAGCACGTTGCACTGAATGAGTAAGTATCAGACAACTCTTAGTTCTGTAAAATACAGATTATTGGTTTACTTAAATCATGTAATGAATTTCAGAGTAATACTTCCTGATTGTTATTCTGTTCCTTTTTTTAATTAATAGAAGTAGTTTTCAAGGTGACTGAGACTATGGTTTTACCATATGCATTTGGAATGTAAGCTGAAGTTTAAAAATTTTTGGATTGATTAGTGAAGTATTTTAGAATCTGAAGTGTCATTAACTCCGAATGCCTCAATTGCTCCCTCTAGTGGGTGCAGAAGCTTCTTATCAACATTCAGTGTAAAAGTTAAATCCTTCATGAGCTACTTCTATAAAATGGGATAATTTGTGTTATAATTTGAGATTGTTTCCTTTGTGTAAAATATGCATGAGTATTTAAATGAGTGTGCAAGGTAACTTACAATACCGTCAGCTAAATCAATTGGTATGTAAATGTTTTCCCCCACAGTTCTGTTCCCCTGTGCTTTCTTGCCTGGTCACTGTTTCAGTCTTGATCTTTGCTACACAAATCAACTATCTGAGTGTAAATATAGTTAAGACCCTATCATTCTGTTAAATAATTTGGGGTTGTTGTGTAGTTATATTGTGCTACCTCCAAGTTTTTTACTAGGATAGTCTTTTTGATCAGCATGCATAAAATAAAATTTTCTGCTCTCACCATGTAGGCATAAGTATAATTTAAGAAGACAACAGGTAAATAAGGTTAGATAGACTATGAAGAAATAAATGTGATATAACATGTATACCTGTAACACTGTAATATTAGTGTAGCATGTAATCTGTTTTCAAAAATGTTTTGCTATTCTCACTTGCAACGTAATAGTCTGATGACAGATTTGAAGGTGGATAGTGAAATGGCTGTAGGAATCCTTACAGAGGGCTCTTCTTACATTGCTAGCATCACTGGGGCCAGAGATGCCTTCAACAAGTAGAGCAGGCTGATGCTGAGTAACACTGAAGAAAATTTTGCTGGAGAACAAGTCAGTAGGATGTGAGTGGTTGTATATTTATTGAACTGATTTGTGAAAGGCTTTGACAGTTTCAAGACATGGTGTTGGGGTTTGTGATAATCAGAAGTTTTCAGCTGCTTGGAGAAGGTCAGTGTGTCCAGCTGGTGGAATGGTACTGGCTGTAGCATTGTATGTGAGCTTTGTAAGGGGAAAAGTCAGGAAGGCCAAAGGAGAGGCTAATAGGGGGACAGGATGAACTTGTAAATAGGAATATTCTCTGTACAACTGTAGATTAGAAAATCCTGAGTGACAACTTCATCTTAAATCCTGAGGGGATTTTTTCCTCTAGGTTCCCTTCCTTAAACATCTTCATTTAGTGTCATAATTTCCCAGCCCCTGCAGGCATAGGGATTGCCATCTCCCTCCCTCCCTTCCTTTTTCCCCAAGGAAACTGCTCCTTTTTGAGCATACTGCTGTGTTTAGTTATTTGTGGAAACCTTCTGAGGAGCTGCTGGTAAACAGGGGCAGGTTTTGGGAGCAACTGATTAGCAAACACTGGAAAAAGACCTGTGTTAAATGGTGAGTCACAGAAAGCTTTATATCAGATTTGTGTGATCTGTTACCTGTGGACTGCAGCAACATATTTGAAATTTTCTAACTGATTTCTAGGAGAAGACAGCAAAACTTGAGGTGATATTCAAGCTTGCAGGATGTGCTGTGCTGCTTGGTATTGCCACCTTGAACAGTTGTAAGCATTAACTAATGCAAGAGCAGATACTTCAGGAGCTTTAAAGCAAAAAGCAATGATAGCTACGGAAGTTTAATTTGGATGACCTTAAGCATTGACATGAGCAGGAATGTCAGTTTTATTTTTCTTATTTATTTAAGGTGTCTTCTGTCACCAAATTCCCTTCTGTTGTTTACTCATGAATTATGATCATTATTTTTGTCTAAGGAAAGAGAAAAGAACAAATAGGCCATCTGAGTTATGGAAATGACAGAGTCAATCTGTTTTTTTCTGTTTTTTCCTAATGGTTATTCATTCTTTAGTACATAATGTATCTCAGCTCACAACCTCATTTAGGAAAAGATGTTTACTCAGCTGGATGCCACAAGCAGATATTTGTCAGTGTAATTACTTGTTATCCCAACTTATATTTTATAAAGCATGGGATATTGACATTAAGCTAGAAATTTTAGCTTCTCTATATATTATCTTTATAGGTATTTTCTTATGTTCCTATTGCCTCAAAAGATTTTTTTCTTCTCTAACACCATTCTTTATAGATATCACATCATTGCTAAAATCAGCATGAAGCAGCTAAATTCATACAAAATAGTTGTGATTTTTTGTCCTAAGGATTAGGTGCCTCCTAGTTTGACTGCACCAGTCTAATATTGAGAAAATACCATGTGCACAGATGACACTTTATAAGTCGCAGGACTATGAGGAAGTTTCAGAAAGTGTATAGCTCACAAATTTTTGAACATTACCTAAGTAGGTGTTGATACCCACCTGACTGTCCAGAAAGTGTGTTTAATTAAAAGGGAGGTATGGTACAAAGTTTTAATTATTTTAGTTAAGGAAAACATAATACATGAGTCAGCCTTTGCCCCTGTGCTGCTCTTTAGAAAAAGCCAATTGAGCTTCATTAACTGTTGGTGCCTCAGAACTATGACTGTGATGTCTGGCTGTCTCAAAAGAAGATCTCTTGTTGCATTTCATATCCGTCAGTGTTTACAGTGTCCTGTCCTGTTGGAATGGGAAAGAGATAAGGCTTATTAAAGTTCTTATCTTTGACTTTAATAACATGGTAGATGATGCAGGTGCTAATAAAAAGGAAAGCAATTTTTCTTTCAAAGACTAGAAATAGTAGATTTAAACTTTGTGAGAGAGCAATAGAGAGGTATTTTATAAATGTAAGTCTGTGCAATGGATTAGGGTCAGATGTCAAAGTGCTTGGCTTTCTCCTGCCTGGATACAAACTCTGAGGCTTGAATGTCAGCCTGCTTTCTGAGCTGTTCTTTCTTCTGTCACCTACTGAGCAGTAAATTGGTGATTCAGCAGCTGCTTAAGGAAGTAATGGGGTGCCTGTGCTGAAGAAGGGGGCAAAATGGGATGTTGCAGGGGGAGTAGGTATGAGAGCAAAAGAACAGATTCATTTCTAGGAGAAGCATGGTTTCAGTGCGTTTGTTGTCACTGTTTTCATCTGCCTGTGGAGCCCTGTTGAGTAGCAAATGTATTGAGCAGGAGTGTACAAATACAGTGAGTTAGGCCAAGTCAGGTTTGTGTTCATTAAGCTTTTGGAGTCTACACAGAAATATATTTGCAGGGCTGCACTGAGATGGTTCTGTTTTGCAGTACACTGGCTCTGGTGTCTTTTAAGCTCCTATGAGTATGAATCTTAGCATTATTCTGACAGGATCTGTTGTAGTACTGTTGGGTAGAAGATTGTTGATGTGCTTTCGTACATTGAAAAACAGTTTGTATTCCTTAACGTAATGTTTCAGAGGGTGCCATAATGTAAGATTTACTAACTGGTAGAAAGAATTCCTTAACTGTATGGGTGACATAGGCTCTTTTCACTTCCTCTGTTATGTTAAGAGATTTGAATATGTATTGTGTTGAGGCTGACTGTGTCTCAGTACATTTCCTGTGTCACAATTTTTTTCTTTTCACTTCTTCTATTATGTTAAGGGAGTTTGAGCATATGTTGTGTTGAGGCTGACTGTGTCTCAGTACATTTCCTGTGTCACAATTTTTTGTCCATTGTCAAAACTAGAAAAATGTACTTGAAGAAAATTTTTTCACCTACATGTAAATGGATCTTCCAGATTAATTTCTCAAAAAAATTTCTAAAGCTTTGCTTTTCAGGGAATGAAATAGTGCAATTCAGAATTAATATCAAAATAACATAATCTTTTGAAAAATGAAGGTTCTGTTTTGTGTAGCATTAGCTGGTTAACTTGTGCCAGACTGGTCTTGCATCACATGAATGGTCTTGCATCAAATCTTTTATTTTTTGCACAAAGCCTAAATTTGTGACTACAGAAAACCAGTTAATGTTCTGTAAACTTTATAGAAAAAAACAGTTGCACCAAGACACCCTTTTAAAATTTTATTGCAGATCTCCACATGATGAACGGGTTCTTCTTGTGAAGACTCAGAAGTCACTGTCTCAGTCTTTTGAAAATCTCTTTGACGAACCATCATATGGCTTATTACAAGTATGTATTTCCTTCAGATTTTTTATTCTGAAGACAAGTGTTGAAAAAATGCACCCTACAATGTCACAGGAACATTCTCTGAGTAATGATTTAATGCCATTGTAAAAGCATCCTAAATCACATGCTTACTATAGAAAGTACACTTAATTGTGCCATTGTAAAAGCATTAACTATATCCTAAATCACATGCTTACTATAGAAAGTACACTTAATTGTAAGTTGTTTTCTATGATGTAATAACTTCTTAACTTTTCTGTGGTATTATTTCAAACCTATTCAAGTTCATGTTCTCTGTGATTCATACTTTGCGGGGAAAGGAAATATTTTGGGAGTTACCACAACATATTAATTATAATTTTCTAAGTTTTCCTTGACTCAGTATTCTTTTCATTGATATTTTCTGAGGCTTTTGAAAGGATAATGGAAATGCACCAGTAAAGAGGACAGTATTGGCTAAAAATATGGGAGGTTTTAATACTACAGTGGCTTATCATTTGTTGGGTCTTAGGGGCTTGTGAAAGTCAGCAGCAAAACTTGAGTGACTTAAATGAGGCCAGGGGTTTGATCCACTGATGTGTTTAGTTAAAGAAGTTCTTAATGAATTAATTACATTAGTTTCTGGATTTAATTGTCAAATCAAAATTTCTGTGAAATTCCTAGCAGCGTACATGATTATTCAGACTGTTTTCTCTGTCAGGGTAGAGAAACTGAGTGTAAGGTTTCTGTTTTGTGCCATGAATCACTGATAGCAAACAGTGGATCTGATCCACTTTTATGTGTAGGTCAGGCTTACTGAGAACACTGGTATCCAATGGTCCAAATCAATTAGCAGTATTATCTTCATACTTAAGACGTGTTTTTTAATCACGTGATGACATTAAGGAAGATCTTAATTAATTAATTACATTAGTTTCTGGATTTAATTGTCAAATCAAAATTTCTGTGAAATTCCTAGCAGTGTAAATGATTATTCAGACTGTTTTCTCTCTCAGGTTAGAGAAACTGAGTGTAAGGTTTCTGTTTTGTGCCATGAATCACTGATAGCAAACAGTGGATCTGATCCACTTTTATGTGTAGGTCAGGCTTACTGAGAACACCAGTATCCAATCTTCCAAATCAATTAGCAGTATTATCTTCATACTTAAGACGTGTTTTTTAATCACGTGATGACTGTTCTCTATTTCTACCAATACATGAAACTTAAATAATTTTGAGATCTACAGTACCTTTCCTGATGTTTTCCTTCGAGTACAAGAATTACAAGTGTGTATATATATATGTATATAAAACAAATGTATTATAAACAAAAATGTTTGTGTTTTGCTGTGTTTTTTAATCACATGATGACTGTTCTCTATTACTGCCAATACATGAAACTTAAATAATTTTGAGATCTACAGTACGTTTCCTGATGTTTTCCTTTGAGTACAAGAATTACAATATTTATATGTATATAAAACAAATGTATTATAAACAAAAATGTTTGTGTTTTGCTTGTTTTCCATGTTATAACAGAAATGGAAGAAAGATCCATATGTAGTAACAATGGGAAAATTTTCCAAAGTCACAAACTATATTGTTGGTAGTTTACGTTCAAGTGATCAATCAAATCAGAGGCGACCACCATCAGAAATGGCAGACTTTCTCAATGATACCATTCCAGGGCTGAAGATAAATCAGCAGGAAGAGCCAGGATTTGAAGTCATTACACGAGTGAGTCTATAAATTAAGGGTACAGATGTGCTGATTGTTTTTATGTACTCCTTTAAAAGAGTAGTAGGACTTGAAGCATGATGAGTTATACTGTTTATTCAATTGTGGCATATTACCATTTATTCTCAGGAGTTTAGATCATCATCAATTACTTTTGCATATGTCATTTTTATGCATGCAAATGCGAGTTTTCTTTGAAAGGAAGTTTGTAATTAATGAAATGGTGACTATAGTTATGTTAGAGGCACTACCTTAAAAGGTGTCCAGTTTTATTTTCAGTGTTTCCTCTGAGGTCAGTTAGAGCTCTGTTAAGTAAAATTGGAGTATGCAGGCTAATAACCAACTTTCTTGGCTGCTTGCTCCTAACATTTCAGTTTCTTTTGAGATTAAAGAAAATACTTAATTGGATGATTAATGTCTAGGGTGTATAAATTACAGATATATGCATGATTTGAAACAAAGCTAGAATGAACTTATAACTGGATCATGAATCACTGTGGACACCTGTTGGAGTCTTTTACAGATATGTGGAAAAGGTTTATTTTTAAATGCTTGTGATTATTATTTGAGCATCTTATATGTTTTTAAAACATTAAACTGTTTTATATGGGGAATTTTTTGAGTTCAAGCAAGTGTTAATATCTCAGCAGTAGCTGCATGAACAACATAATTCTAAGATGTTGCTGCCTAGCACTTAGTTAATTTGTGAATGAGAAAAAGTATTAAAAATTCTATATATGGAAAATAACATTGACCTATTTGTTTTAATCTGACAAATGCCTTGGGCTTCTAAAGAGTTGAAATACAAATTGATTTGGGGGTTGCTATCATAAAACTATTTTTAGAAAGTAAGAATTTACTTTCTGCTGAATTCTCCTTACATAGAATTTGGGAACTGAGAGACTAAGCACAAACTGAAACTTTTGATGGGTGTTATAAATTCTGAAAGTACATACATCCTTGGGTTTTTTAAGAGGCTGTGTACAAAACTGATCTTTCCAGTCACATTGTGCAGTTTGTGTAGGTATAGCATCTCCAAGCCCAAGCTGGTTTTCAGTTCTCTTGTAAGATGCACTTGTGTATCAGGAGTGTGTTTTTGAAGTGAAGCTCCCAATTGTCCTTGTTTGCTGTGTTGCATTAGTTCATGGGAAGCTAGCTCAGAGATGTTTGTAGAATTAGGTTATTTAAAACACACATACATCCTCCAAAATCTGAAGTATTACCATGTATAGCCAGGTCCTCAGCAGCAAGTGTCTTACCCTGAAGATCCACACTGCTTGTGTTGGCCCACTCCACTTGCTCATGTGGCTGCAGCCTTAGATCCTTAGAGTTGCTGAGGTGTGTGCATGTGGAAATGTAATTGCACTGACTATAAGAAACTGGCAAGCTTAGTACCACTTGTGCAGTTTTTTGCAACTACTGAAGCACTTCATTGGGATTCATATAATGCCTTTGTGTGTGTTTCAGATCGACCTAGGGAAACAGCCTGAAGTTAGTAGAAGAGAGCCTGTGACAGCTGAAGAATGGGCTAAGAATATGGACTCTGAAGGAAGAATTGTAGATGTTGACTACATAAAACGACTGATATTCAAAGGGGTAATTAGTTTTTCTAAATTCAGCAAGACCTATGGCTTGATTCTGGCTTTTATTTTCCTTCCCAAACTGTGGATATGCTGCTTTCATTAACTTGTAATGTTTCAGGCAGAACTTTGAGCATGACCTATACTGTCATTATTGAGAGACTTCATAAAGCATGGTTTCATGCCAATCAAATACCTCAGCAGTCTTGCAGCTATAGAAAGTGCTCTACAAGGAGAGAGATCTTGTTGTGGCTGGCTAAAGGAAGTGAGTTGGAAATATAGAAGCTTAAGTGATAAAACAAATGAAGGTGGCTCTCAGGAAAAGACCAGTATTTCAGTGCTAGGATATTTGGTTTGTTCTTTTCTCTTACAAGGTTTTTTCCTATCCTTCTCCAGCAGAAGCTTCTGGTTTTGCCCAACTGTTTGCTGGGATTTGACAATGTTTAGCAGAGCAGTGCTAAACACTTCCGCTGGTATTTTTAATTGAACTGAGGGGTTTTGCAATATGAATGTGAATTTAGTCTCAGTGATGGAAATTTTGAAAACTAATTGTGTCCTGTAGCTTTTCTACCTAATGTTACTTCAGCATTTCTGTATTTTGGTGGGAATACAGCTGCCTTAATGCATTTTGTGCCTGCTGCTGCATGTTTCCAAGCAGAAGTAGAGAATGATAGCACTGTTCCTTAATATTTGTGTGCTTGATGTGCCCAGTTAAGGACCCTTCCACAATCATGAGAATTACTACAAACCTTTTCTTCTGTAGCCCGCATTCTTGTCAATCTCTGCCCATTACCAGAAGACTGAGTGCTCTATTTTATTTATGACTCAAGATCCCCAATGTGGGGACTCTCATAGAAAAAGATTCTTATTCTTATGACTGTAGTGCAGGAGTTGCAAGAAACTCTCTTGATGAGAGTAGGGTATGATTCAGCTCCATACATTTTTGTCATCTAAAAATGTTGAGCATTACTTGGGAAGATTTCTGACAAGCAGGCTTCTTGAATGGACATTAGTATTTTTGACTGAAAGATGCATTGCAGGTTGGCTGTGTCTTGTGAGATGAAAATATTTATTTAAAAAAACAAATAAATGGAAGACTAGTCCTCAAGGTCACTTTATGGCAAAACCAGAAGTTTGGCAACCAGAAGCAGCATTATATTTTTGTACATTTTTAAAGGTACCTTTTCTAAAGTCTTTGATGCCTGTAAGTTCTTTATTTTTAGCAGTGAAACAAAAATATAGGAAGAAAATTATTTTTTAAAGTTTCTTTTCTTACCTAAGTGTGGATCCAGTGCTTCTACAGTATTCTGTTTAATCATTCTCTTTTCCTCCTGTTTCCTCACACCTAGTTAGCACAGGAGACTTGGCTACGATGTAAAAAGAAACCAACTTGAAGTTGCTACTTTGGGAAGTCTTGTATCAATCTAGGAATGTTTCCTCAGAGTATGATAACGCTTTTGTTGATGCATCATACCCATTTTTCCCTAGGGTCTCTGCCATACTTTAAGAAAAGAGGCATGGAAATTTCTTTTGGGATATTTTCCTTGGAATAGCACTAAAGAAGAGAGAGCAAATCTGCAAAAAAGGAAAACGTGAGTACAGAGACTTTTTTCTTACAAAAGAAATTTAAAAATTACATCTTTTTTTAAGACAGAGTGATGTAGAAAGCCCTTTGAAAGACAGCTGCTAATATTGTTGAATGCAAGAACCTGTGACATTTTCTTAAAAATTGTTTTAGTGAAAACTTTATATAAACAGGGTGTTGTTATTCCATTTATCTCAAAGAATACATAGAATGGATGAATGCTTGAATTAAAAAAAAGGAAATGTGGATGTTTGGTTTCAAAATTGTCGTTCTTCTTCAGGGATGAATATTTCAGGATGAAGCTGCAGTGGAAATCTGTCAGTGAGGAACAGGAAAAGCGAAATTCAAGATTAAGAGATTACCGGAGTCTTATAGGTAAATTCATGTTTAGACACATACCTAAATTCACACACACTTTTAAAAGATAACATGAAATTGAAGAGCCTGCATGTAGAGGCACTAAAAATGAAATGTTGCTCTTTTCAGAGGTGTCTAAACTTGGTTATGTACTTAATATTAAAACTTTCTCAAGTAGAGTAACACAGTGCTTTACATATTAGTGTTACAAAATGGCTGGATTTTTAAACTTTGTTCAGTCAGTAACAAAAGACTCTTCATGTTGTGTTATGTCATAATGTGTTTCTCCTGGAAATGTTGTTATGTAATATAACATACAATAAGAATGTGAAAATGTGTCTGTTCATAGTTTATAATTTCTTATAGAGATTTGTGTGTGTGTTCTGACTTAAGGGGTTTTACACCTACTTCTAAAAACTTCATCAAATTATGCAGATTATTAGCAGTTAGTATTCTCATTTCTCTTTAGTGGTGAGATTTGGGCACCAGTGTTCTGGATTACTAAATTTTTTTTTTTAGGAGTCAGGGCAAGATTTCTTTGTTATTCTGAGACAAAAACTTACTTCAGGCAGTTATTCAACAGGCAAGCTGAAAGGGTCAAAGTAGTCTTGTCTTGGTAGATTAATAAACTACATTTTTAGAGAATGATAACAGAAAAACATATATTCTGAGTTTAAAAAAGGCCAGGTGTTTGTTTCTGTGGAGACAGTTATTTTAATTTTTAAGCATTTGAAATGTATGTGGCAGTATTAGAGTTATGTAGTGAAATAGATTAAAATCCACAAAATACTCCTTTTGTCAAACTGCTTTCAAAATTTTGCAAAATTTCAAAATGTATTTGTCTTGAATTTCATCTTATTAAGGAGCATACTTAAAGTGTGCTTGGTGTGTTTCAGACATCAAAACTACTTGGTGAAAGAGGCAGTTTCATCTGCTATGAGTTGCAGGAGCTTGTTACACAGTATTTATAAAATGCTGTTATGAACTGTCACAGTGTCTTTGAGCTGATCATGTGGGAGCTTTCCAACTATGGATTATGCTGTGTTGCATCAGTATTCATAAATGGCATTGTAGAGTTAGCTCACATAAAATTATTTTTAATCCTCTTAAGTGTAAAACATTTTTGCTGAATTGTATTCAGGATTTTTTTCCATAAAATGCATTATCAAAGAAAAGGCGGAAAGCTTTAAAATATGTTTGTAAGCAAATACTTTCATTGGAGATAGGAAGGATTTTATTTATTTTAAAACATTCTTTGTTTTGAAATGACATTCAGTTACGCAGTTGTCTTAAACACTTCAAAGCTTTCCAACAGTGTTTGAGGAAGAAATCATCAGCTTAGATATTCTGAATTAATTTGATACTGGTTTTGTAAGACTGGTTTTGAAAGTGTTTTTAAATCTGGACTGTTTTCTTAGAAAAAGATGTTAACAGGACAGATCGAACAAATAAGTTCTACGAAGGAGAAGATAATCCGGGACTGATTTTACTTCATGATATTTTGATGACCTATTGCATGTATGACTTTGACTTAGGTAAGTTGTGTCCCTCTGAATGTAAAAGCCTTCTTGGCCTCTAATTTGCAGCTTTGCTTATGCAAAGTCCTATTAATAGAATTGAAATAGTATTAATTGCAATGCTTTTTGTAAATGTTTTAAAAAAATGTAATAGTTTTTTTTGTAGTGTTCAATAATGTAGATAACTTTGTTCAGTTTTTCTTCCTCTCTTCAATTTGGTGTCTGTTTTAGGCCTCTGAACTCATTAATTGTGGTGGGATTAGGAATTAAGTGGTAGTTTGTGTTTACCCCAGACCTACTGTTGTGGGGTTCTTTTGCCGTTTTTGGGGTTTTTGTGTGGTTTTTGTTAAGTTTTTGTGGTTTAGGTTTTTTGTGTTAACTTTTTAAAAAGAATTGAAGCAGTCTTGCTTTTCAGAGTTTTAAATGGGTTTGGGTCTTTGGAGCTTGAGTGTTATATATGTTTTTAAGACTGATAATATCAATAAAAATTACAAGCCAGCTGCCACTGCTGTAATTAAAGCTCAGCATGCTGAACCAGCTGTTTGTAAACATGGTGTTCTTTTGAATATTTTAAAAGCTGGTTCTTGAGAAGTGCACTTAGCAATCTGTCAAAAATTACATTTTAGTGCGTGCATCTGCTGCAGAAGGAAGAGCATATAACATCTTACTTTCATCACACTGTCAATGTGATGGCTAAGTCTTGGTTCCTTGTTAATTGTCTTGGGAGGGAGGGAAAAGATACTTGCAGTTGGTTCCCTCTTCACCCCTGGCATGACATTTGGCTGTTGTATACTTTGGAGTTTTTTTGAGTATTCTGTATCAGAAAAGTTTTGGGATTCTAAAAGTCCACTTCATGCCAGATTTTGAAAACAAAAAGTAAGATTAAATCTTTAACTGCTAGTATACATGCAGTCGAGCTGTAGTTCTTGTCAGGTTTTGTTCTCTCTGAAAGAGTGTATTGATCTTTGGCTTGAAAAAAGAGAAAACTAAAATGGATTGTTTAAACATGTAGCTCTGTTTCATCTCTTTCCACATTTCAACATTCATTAATGCACATTATAGGTGAAAGTAAAGCAGATTCACCACTCACTCTGTTAAAAACATTGTTGACATGGCTTAAATGTGTACACTGGATAACTCTTTTGTTTTATAAGCAAGCAGGAATAATGGGAATACAGTAAATTTGACACAGTAGCTGTCCAAGGCTTCTACACATTGGTGATCTGCTGCTCTTAAACTTTTGACAGCAGCTTTAGAGGGGTCTGAATAATGCCACAAACTGCTTGATAGGGAAGGGGACAGAAAGCTGTTAATAGAATATTTTTCTGAATTAATTCCTTAAGTCTGCATTAATGAAATTTGTTTTATTATTAAATGGACTTTTAAACTGTCTTGGACAGAGTTTTCTCTGCATTTATTTTTAGTTAGCTGTAGTATTTAATATGTGGGGAACAAAACCTTTTTCTTTTGGCCTTTTAAATATTTACCTGTTTGCTCTTATTTATTCTCTTTTTCTTTTTACAGCTGCTCCATATTTTCAGTTACTGATTCTATTCCTCTTTTCAGTTACAGAATTACTATTATATCCATCATTAAGAAATAGCCAACTGAGAAATATTATGTTGAACCAATCACTGATGATAGATACACACATTAATTGTGTTGTCCTCTTTAGAGAGGTCAGCAACAATTGGGCAATAGTTAAGCTGACACAGATGGTCTTAGGTTTGGGTGTATTTAAATTACTTTCCAAGCAGAACAGTCCCAACTTCCTTAAATAAAGGAATCTTTAAAGCATATTCACTGACAGAAAAAAAAAAGAAGTGTAAAATGCAAAGTTTTCTTCATAAGATCTGTTGCACTATGTTTTTCTGGAATTGCAACTCAGCATCTCTTTAAGTGAATTTGAGAAGAAAATCTTCATTAAGGGGGTGGGTGAGGGAGTACAAAGATACTCAGAATTTTTAAATGTCTATAAGAAAGTAATCAAGTACAAATAGAAAGGAAATTACTTACAAGTTTGTAATTTTGATGGTGCAAGGTAGAGTGTATATATATATATGCTCCCGAATTCTAAATAGGAACATTCTTACTAAAAATATGTTGTGTACAGACTCAGTTTGTACATATTTTAACAGCTGTTGGAACAGCTTTATATTCTCTTTAGATTGGCAGAAATGGCTTGTAAATCTTATCAGATCTGTGGGATGTTGGTGCCTATTAATACAAATTTGTCCTTACTGGTAGCTGAATCTGAGAATTATAGTATCTGTATGTTCTAACATTTGTTTCACTCAGTCATTCATCACACTTGAAAAATTACTGTTTAACTGCTGAGTTTACATTTATTTTTGTTTTTTTTCCTCCTTTGGTTTTTCTCCATCAAGGTTATGTGCAGGGGATGAGCGACTTGCTGTCACCTGTCTTGTATGTTATGGAGAATGAAGTAGATGCCTTTTGGTGCTTTGTATCATACATGGATCAAATGGTAAAATAAGGCTTTTTTAGCTCACATAAACAGATAAGCTACAGATATTATTTGGGGTTAATTTTACTTTATAAATTTCACTGGGTTTTTTTAATTCTTTTAAAGCACTCATTTTGTGTTTGGAGTCAATATGTTTTTGTTGATTGAGGTTGTGGTGGGTTTGCAATAGTACTGCTGTACGGTACAGGCATATTTGGCTCCTTAAGAATTCCAAAGTAACCGTCACAGACAAATTTGTATTTATCAGGAGTCCTCAAGCAGGATTTTGTTCAGGATAATGGTTTAATTATATACCTGCCTTTTGGGTTTTGTTAAATGCAGTTTAGACTTCCACAAACTGAAGCTCTTATGACTTGTGCATGTGGCAAAAGAGTGTGTGACTGATATGACAGTAAAAGAGAATTTTTTTGAGTGCAGTCATGCTGCTGGGAAGTACAGAGCTTAATCAGATTTAAACTATCATTTATTACATACAAAAATGTTAGCAAAGAAATACAGTTCAGCGCGTTAAACTTTTCAGTAAAAGGCAGACATTTCATTAGATAGAAGTACAGTTAAATATATATTAAGTAACTAAAGGGTGAGAACCACTGTTACAATAACAAAGCTTCTTTTAAAACAGCTGCAAATCTCAAAATTGAGTTAATAAAAGTGACACAGTGCTAATGTTTTATTCCATACAGCATCAGAATTTTGAAGAACAGATGCAGGGTATGAAGACACAACTTATTCAGCTGAGTCACTTGCTTCGTTTACTAGACAGTGGATTTTGCAGTTATTTAGGTAGGTGTATTACTTATGCACAGTAACTGAAAGAGCTTCCTGTATTCTGTTCCTCACAAGTCTAAATATAATTCCAACATTATATGAGTATAGGACTTGTAACTTTATAATGCCTAAAATGTTTAAATTATTGCTCCATGCTTATTGAAAAGACAGGGTCATCCTGTTACCAATTTTAAAAATATGTCATACTCTTGCAAATATCTTGATTCTAAAAAGGTCCTGCCGTGTTAAAATTAGTGGTGTAAGCATGTACCTGTAAAGTGTGTATTTTTTTTTTAACCTGTTGTTTGAACCAAATTTGATGCTTCTGAAATGTCACACTCTTATTCCTAGAATCTCAAGATTCAGGCTACCTTTATTTTTGCTTTCGGTGGCTTCTTATCAGATTTAAAAGGGAATTTAGTTTCCAAGATATTCTTCGACTCTGGGAGGTAAGGAAATATTTCATCACACAATTTCCAGCAGTTTTTGGACTTTAGAACAAAATGCATGGATCATTTTGCAAAGTGTTTAATTCTGTGATAAATTAAGAAGAAAAGGACGCTTTTCTGAAGTGTCTCAAGATTCTGAACCTGAGGACAAGTGAGCATTTCTTATGTCTTTTTAGCCTAAAGAACTAACTTGTGAAAGTAATGAAAACAATACTTATTAGAGCTGGTTTGCATAAATTGGCTGTCCAAAATGATTTGGACAGGAGCCTTCAACTGAGACTCTCAAGTGAAAGTAGTAAGTGGAGAGTACCAGTTAACTGTTAATGGAAAACAGCTCATTATAGAAGAAAGAACATTTGTTTGGTTAATTCCTTGGTATTGGTGATTCTTTATAGATTAAGTTGAATGAAGCACTGTCAGGGTAGTTTGTGTTAGCCAAAACCATGAGGAGGATGATTTCAGAAGGTTGTTTATCTTGATGATAAGGCCTTGTGATGCTGCATAACATTAGGTAAAACATCAAAATGTTGAAGTTCTGATCATTCTGGTTTAATGAGATCTTTTTTTGATTTAGGTGGTCTTGGAGTCAGATGAAATAATTAAGATTAACTAATATTCTTGTCTTTAATTTTTCATTTTGGGAAAATTGAGAAGTGTGTCAGCAGTACAGGTTTATAGTTGAAAATGCATTTAACAGGGTCACAATATTCATTGAAAACTCAGAAGAAGAGAATAAATGTTCAGATGAAAGGAGGGAGTATTTTATAGGACATAACATCATGTGTGTTGAGGAACAGAAGGGTAATGAAAAGAACAGGGTTGAGATGCATAAAGTTTGTACTATAATGAAAAATAATGTTGTTTCTGGTGTGATGAAAAATAATGTTGATACTTTTATTCACTTTTTTCCACTAATGAAAAAGGAGTCACATAAAGAGGAGGACCAGTATTTAAAACTGTCTAAAGTAAATCTTTTTTAGCTTTTTTTATCATCAGTTGGTGGAATTTACTATCATAGAGTATTGAGGTGGTATTTCAACCAGAGGGAAAAAAAAGTTTATGGATAACATTCATAAATAAGGAAAGCAATATGTACAAAACCAGAAGAATTCTCTTATTTGAAGGTATAAATGATAATGATTTGGGAGGGGAGATGCACTCATCTCTTCCCCCCAATATTACTTTCTCAGTATTTTTTAGAGACTAATTTTTCTTTTTAAGTAGATGACAACAGTATTTTTATTTATAGTTTATTGTCCCAGGCTAACATGTTTTTATCACCTCTGCTTTAGGACATATATATGTGTACATACAGGAAAGAAACACTACATTTCTCTCCCAAGTATTTTTTTCCTCTCTTAGGAAAATGATGGAAACATTTTGATATATGATAGTCTTGTAGGTTTCTTATAGCACATCATAATGTATGTTTACTAAGTATTCAATTTCTTTACTAGGAGATATGGAATGGGAAAGGAAATATCTTGTTTTCCTTTTTAAAACAAAGTAATTAAGGCATTATGTTAATGTTTCTATGTGAAGGCTAGAGTCACCTTGATCAGTTCGGTTTACAGTAGGTTGCTTTTTTTCAGTGTATAGCCATGCAGCTCCACTGGTATCAGTGAAGTAAGTGGGATTTACAAAGGCAAGCTATAGGCACAGGAGGCCTTTTCCCTTTATAGAGAAATTAATTAATTTTTTGGGGTATTTGGCTGAGCAAACCTCATGTCCAGTTTTGTAATAGCTCATGAATTGAGGGAATCCATTTGAAGGCAATATTACACGCTGACATATACATGCAGAGCGTAGAATGGGATGAAGGAGAGGTACCATCTGAGATTCCAGTCCCAGGTTCCAGGATTTCTGGGGCTTTTTCTGTCTAATCTGCTAATTTCAGGGTTCTTGTGGATCTCTCTTTCTGTCCTCTGACTCATATGAACCACTAAGTAGGCATCAGACACTTTTTCCTTGTTCCTATTGGCTTCATGACTTCCAGTGTTTTCTCAGAAAAAAAAAGAAATGAAAAAGATTCTTCACTAGTCTGGTTTCTCCCATCTCCATTCACCTTGGAAATGGGGAAATGGGAGGTACTGGTTCTTACCATCTGGAGTAGAGGCTAACTCCCAGCCTTTGCACTTCCTGAGCAAGATCCGTAATCAGATTGTGGTAGAATATGTCAGTGGTTGTTTCATTGCTCTTGCATGTGATAGAGAGGTGACATTCCACCTTTTGTGTGTGGGTTAAACTGCTCTGGCTGCAGATAGGTTAATTTATAGCACATTCTAGCAGTGCCTCCCAAACACAGCCCAGATGTACTGACCCACTGCTTAGCTGTGACAGAATTGAGAGTAGTTCAGTCCCTTCTTGATGCTGGAGAAACAGGTAACATCACCTGGTAATTCCAGCCAGTTCTTAATCTTTTGTTTGCACAATGGCTGGTTTAGAAGAAACCCAGAAGAAAAATTCTGTAACAAAATAACAACTAACTCACTAGCTCCAGTGTTATTCTAGTACCACTTGGTAACATACAGCCAGAATGAGTTGGGAATAAGTTATTTTACATGCATTGGTTACAATATTCATGGCTGCTGTGGTAGTGCTAGAACAAACGAGTCTTTACTTGTGTAGCTATCGGAAAGAAAAAGAAAAAAACAGTTATTGCTCGTTATTTTTTTATTTTTACCTTCATATTTGTAACTTAAATGCTACTTTTTCTCCCATCTTTTCACCATGTTGTGATGCTGCTGTTATGCATTTACATACATAACCTTAAATGCATGCTCTGCTCCAGACTTCAAAAGGTTTATCAAAAATGGTAGCAAAATGTATGGGTTTTTTTGGGCAGCAACTTAATGTTGAACCAAATCAATGAACAACTGTCAATATGTCCTTCTGGTGAAGCAGGAATAGAAGAAAGCAATAGTGTGTAGACACAGACTGTGTTTGGTAGATTATAGGCATTTTCATTCAATTGTTATTTTTTATCAGCCTATCTGCATTCCAGTCTTTCTTCTGGAGTGAGAGAACGCTTTAACAGAATATTGGTTGTCTGATAAAGATGCAAAATTTAATTTCCAAACTGGATCTTAATTGAAACATTCAAGTTTATTTGCACTCTATTTTGGGTGAATTTTCTTTGGATATCTTTGGGATTGATGCAATTCTGTTTACAGATTACATGTACTACTAATGAAAGTTCAAGTATAAGCTCTTGCTCAGCTATAAGGCTTTATTCCACCAATAATGATGAAAAAAGATTTTTGCTAGTGAAGTAACAATTTTTCAGCAGTCTGATTTCTTACCTGCTTTTTTTTGAGAGTAAATCCATTGTCTTAAATCCCTTTATCTGTCAGGGCATTTGTGGAAGCAGACTTTTGCTTCTTTTGGGTTTTGTTGGCAAAATTGTTCTCCAGATTTCTGCCCACCATACATATTCTTTTCAAATAATTTTTTTTAAAGATTTTTGTGAATGTACTAAAATAGGGTATTAGTACTGAGGTTACACACTTCAGGCCCAGTAAACTCAAGAATTGCTAATTGTGTCCTCCATGGGATCAAAAGCTGATGTGTCTTGGTATACCCACGTACCCCCAGTAGCTGCATGTGCATGTCTTTGGGTTCTCATGGTGGCAGGATTGGCAACAACTTTAGCACCTTATTTATAAACATTAGAGTCTTCTTAGCTGTTACTGGGCATGACACTCTTCTGCCAATTCACACGTAATGCAGATACTCTAAACCACACAAATAATTTTTAGCTTCAGTTACTTCTGTTTCACATGAGCTGAGGCAGAGCCCACATCACAAGACCACAGGCTGAAGCAGTTTAGTAGCATTATAGTGGACAATGGCTTAAGAAGCAGATAAGCATTTGGTGACTCAGACTTGCAGTTGTCTCTAAAGGGCCAAAAGTAAAATTCCAAATAATCGTACAAATACTTAGTTGCTTTTAAAACCAGCTTATTAGTTAAGTGATTTGCTGGAGGACTTATATTCTAAGAACTACTTTTCAGCGGAAAAGTATAAGCATTTCAAATGTGGGGGTTTTATATTTTAACAGGTCATGTGGACGGAATTGCCTTGTCAGAATTTTCATCTTCTCCTTTGTTGTGCTATCCTAGAATCTGAAAAACAGCAAATAATGGACAAGCACTATGGCTTTAATGAAATACTAAAGGTACCAAATTCTTATGCATTATTGTGCTGCTTTTGGCTGAAGTAGAATTGTCTTCCTAGTGGCTATTATGGGGTTGTCTTTTGGGTGCCAAGTTAAATATTAACTAACTTTTTGGAGTTAATGCAATATGATTGTGGTTTATGTTGGGGGAGGGAAAGGTGCATACCATTTTCTGAAGGGTTAAGTGTCTATCCTGCAGGCTTTCAAAATGGTTTATTGGATGTCTGTGTTTAGTGAGAAGATCATTAACAGATTGAAAATGGTTCTCTCCTCAGATGAGTTACTATATTTAATACTAACTTTTGCTTTATCTTCTATGATCTAATTTATCATCTCTGAAAATGTGAACTGCAGGGGGAAGTATGTAGGAGGGCCAGGTAGTTTGCCACGTTTAGAGGTACTATGGATTCCTCTTGCAGACCTTGGATGCTGGTGAAAGGCAGCTGTTCCATAGTGTACCTTGGAATAGCCATTTCTCAAAGATTATAGACTATGTCTAGCATTTCACAGCTTAAGGGGCAGGTTAATAAGGTGATACTTACTAGCAGTGCAGTATTAATGTATTTTGGGTGAAACATGGTTATAATTTATCTCACTATACCTTGTGAATCTATTTTTAGCATATCAATGAACTGTCTATGAAAATTGATGTGGAATATATACTCTGCAAAGCAGAAGCAATTTCTATGCAGATGATGAATTGCAAGGTAAAGATCTCTATCTACTGTGAATGTTTATAGACAGGAAAAGTATGTAGTTTAAGTGTTCATGTGTGACTTGTGAAATAACTGAATGCCTGGGTACAGTGAAGCATGTTGTGTAGCTATGCAGTGCCTATGTTCAAGCAGCCTGTAAGAAAGAATAGTTGATTTTATAGAGTAATACTGTTCACTGGGGGAAAGTTGAATTGTGCTTTTTCGTTGTGATTTCTCAGCTCTCATTAGGTAACCTCACTCCAAGAAATTTAATGTTTGGTGTGCTTGAGAAAAACTAGTTGAAAGGTGCATCGTATTGAAAGCATGCCAGACTTATTAGGCAAAAACTAGTGGGTCACTCAATAAAACTAATTTCAATAACATGAAGTGTAATTTTAGTAGCTGATTAGACTAACTTTTGTAATGAAGATTATATTAATCAGAATTAATCAGGAATTGATTCCTGAGTGTGTTCCTTTTGCTGTCTTCTTGAAAAACAGCTTCAGAAAATGTTAACTCTAATGTAAGTACTGCTGAGAGAGGTGCTTTCAGTATGGCTAAATTCAGATGAATGATTTGTCACATGAATGAGTACTGAGAATGCAGGATGGACGGAGGGGACTTTGTTGTTAACTTTTTTTAAATTTAATTACAGTGATTTTTAACATTATCCCTGCCGCCTCCTTTCTAGGAATTGCCTCAAACAGTCAGTGAGATCCTGGGGATAGAGAACAGTTCGGTAACTCCGGATTCTGATATGGGAGAGGATGAAAGTGGAGCTGAGTTGAGCTGTGCGACGTCTCTGTACCCGAGCATCTCAAGCCCTGTAACTGCTGCCAATGGCACGAGGGACGGCGCTCAACAGGCGGCTGAGACGCAGAGCCTGACACCTGCCTAATCACACTTGGTCCCCTTGGAGAAAGACTTTCACTGAGCACATTTTGTTCAAGCACTTGAGAGATGGATATTTAAATTTGGTGTTGATTAAGCTTTAAGGTTGTAAAGAAAATCTGTACTGTAATGCTTTTGCATTAAAGCTTTACAACATGACTCAACTTAACTATTTTTGTAGTTTCTTCTACCAAAATAGCCTTTTGTTTTCAATAACATTCCTTAATATTTTTGTAGCCAAGTGCATTTTCTTTTTGCTGGTAAACTGGAAATGGATGGTGATTAAGAATGAAAGAAATTGCTGGATTTGCTGAGCTTTCACACATATTGGTCTAAGACAGTGTGAGCTCTTTGATTTAAGCAGATTCACAATATGCCAGCTGAAGCTGCTGTACAAAATTTTCAAGCTGAAGTGATGCTGATGTGCTAAAGGAGGATTCTTTTGTAAATGGATTTTCCCTATCTCAAATGTTTACAAAAATACTTCTAAGTATTTGTTGCTGGTTGAATGTAGATTTGAAGTGGACATTCATACTTGCACAGTTTAATGTCCAAATACTGAATTTTGTGTAATTGGGAGTGGATGAACAGTATATTTTTACATTAACATATCTTCACTTTATATATACATATATATATTTACACACATACACACACTATATACACAATTGTTTGTGAATACTAAAAATAATACTATTAAAAATTGTATTTTCAATATCTAAATAAACTTGACTGTTCATTCATATGAATCAGTTTGACCAAATTAATGCACAGCTCCAACCTGGGCTCTTTTTCAAAACTTTTCTAACTGAAGGTAACTTTCATGTGAATACATTCAGTCCTACACTTGATGTAATTTTGCAATCGATACCTTGCAAACTTTACTAATGTTCATACTTGTTAATATATTAACTGATCAGTTAACCACTTACACTGTTTTTATGGCAACATTATTTGGAGAATTGATAAGCAAGTTGTAAAAAAGCCAACCAACAAACCACACACCAAATAGTAATCACAATTAACATTAATACATTTTTTCTATCTGCAAAAGGCGGTGAGTTTATTCCATGCCGTGCTGATGTCCTTTGACGTTATGTGAAATTTAACATAACTGATTAAGTGTATTCATTATTTGGTTAACTATTGTACATATATAAAATAAAAGTCAAAGCTGATTTAGTGTTTTTAATTAAATCATATTTAGAGAAAAAATCTAGTTGTCTGGTGGTTAATGTAAGAACATGAGACAGAGGGAGAGCTAGTGGTTAGTCCATGGATATGATATATTTTGTGGGTAATGGAGGGCTGTGGGAGTTTCTGCTTTTTACTACAGAGTGGAACATGCCTTTCCTCTCTAGGTAGTTGAAGTGTGGGATGTGGCAGAGCTTTCTTTTCTTGTGGAGCAGTTTACTTTTACAAATGTTATTTGTGCCATCTTAAGCAAATACAAGTAATACAATAGGCTTTAATAGATAAATCAAGTTGTTAAAATAATTTGGAAGTTGATTCAACTTCTCTCACCAGTTGTCAGCAAACACTGGACAGCTGAATCAGTTCAGATTTTGGTTTTAATATTGTCAGTGTGCTATCTTTCATCAGTTAATAAGAACTTGAGTCCTATGCCGTGAAAGTCAAGGATTCACAGCTCAGCGTTATCTGGAGGCTTTCATTTCCTGCCCAGGAAATTACTGTGAAGCATCATGCCTTTGTTCCCTGGTGAGCATTGTACTTTTTGGCAGTTAATTTAATGTGACATAGAATACAGAAAGGCATTAGAACTTGGATATTCAACACTTTGGTTCAAAGATATTAAGCAAGTTAGTTTCAGTATTTTTTGAGCACCTAGTTCACTTTGAAGTGTACTTGCAAAATATTTTTCATCAAAAATTATGTTCAATGCAACTATGGCAGGAGAGGGAAATGTCTACAACAGGAATGCTGTGGACAAGCTGTCAATTAACTGTGCATGGTTCTTAGTTATTTAGGATATGCATCCACAAAAAAACTATTCAAGATACTAAGATCTTGAAGAACACCACAACTGACAACATAAATATTCAAATGTTTGGGAAAGACATATTTAAGTGGAATTCTGTAATTTCTTAGAATTACACCTATGGCTGCTAAGAAAATTTACCAGCCCATAAAGTAAAGCTTGCCTTTCCTTTTTGGGTATAATTTTTCATCTTTTCCCTTTGTATTCACCACTTGGAAGTCAAAGATGAGAAGGTTGCTTGTGAGCTAGCAGTGAGCAGCTGCTGTGGAGGGCTCGGGGTAGGTAGGCTTGCTCAGCTTCCTAACAATAAGATGAAACGCCACTTGCAGCTTTCATTATCTGTAGTTTTCTTCCTGATGACAGGCAGCCTTGCAAAGAGTTGCAGGAGGAATCTCATCTTCACCAAGTTATTCCTAGTTGTTTTAGTTTCAGTGGAGACATCAAAAACACTGTGAGAAACTTTAACCAAGATCATGATGGCTAAAATGCCATGAAATACTTTGGGTTGACAGTTCAGGATGTTTAAATTTATTTTGTATTTGAATAACTTAGATTGCTTAGGATTAATAAATGTGAACTAAACTAAAGACAGTTTGGTCACAGTTGTCAGGCCATAAAAGAAGCAATACTGGTTTAATTCCTGCAAACCTGTTTTGTTTCTTAATGCTTGACACTTGAAGATAATTATCATCTGTGGATGAGGTTTAAAATGTCATGTTTTTCAGTCACAGCAGTTTTCCAAGGTATTTGTTCCAAGGTAAAAATTATATTGACATAGTTCTTTCAAATACATTTTTTTTCCTCATTTTGTCTTTTTGGGCAATTATATTCATTTTGAAATTACATTCTTGAAGTTATTTTATTTTGTTTGCGGGCAAGATGATAGCTTACAAAACAGAGAAATGGAAATGGCTTACAAAATGGAGTTGGAAGTTTCTTTGAAATTTGGACTAATGTGAATGTTTATGAAATAGTTTTGATACTGGGAAGGTAAATTGAAAACTATAAAAAGATGATCCTAAGCTACCCACAGTCATCACTTAAAGCTTCAGTTACATTGAATAGTGCCTATCCTGTTCAGCTACGGGAACTGTGTTTGCACCCAGTGAATGTTGTAGCCAGTGGCCTTCAAACCTGTGTTGGGTTTGGAGGTGTTGTTTTGGTTGTTGCAGGTCATCTTCATAAGGAATTTAAGGCTATATATATGTTACAACAGGTCCTGATTGCTTTGAGGATCAGATGTGGAAGTACTGTGATAATTGAATTATAGATCAAAACAAGCATTGCTAATACAAAACATTGTATTAGCAATGTTTTTGTTTTGATCTGTAATTTAATTCAAATTAAGGTGTTAGTGTTTAACAGAGCCCAGTTTTATTGCTAACAAGATTTTTCTTAAAACCTTTAAATTTTTCTAGCGGACAGTTTTAAAATGCTGATGGTGCCTCATTAATTATTCTCTTTGATTTTCCCACACACATTACTTGACAAAATTCCTTGCCTCAGTGAGCCAAACAGTGAGGAACTGGTTTCCTCATTACTTTAAAATACATTCTTGAGCACCAAATTAAAGCTCCAGTGTTGAAACTTTTCAGAAACCTGTAAGAAGTGTTCATCTAGCTTCAACTTTTTGAGATAATATTTTAGTTCAAAATATGTGAGGCATTTTTGTTTTGATCTGTAATTTAATTCAAATTAAGGTGTTAGTGTTTAACAGAGCCCAGTTTTATTGCTAACAAGATTTTTCTTAAAACCTTTAAATTTTTCTAGCGGACAGTTTTAAAATGCTGATGGTGCCTCATTAATTATTCTCTTTAGTTTTCCCCCATACATTACTTGATAAAATTCCTTGGCCTCAGTGAGCCAAACAGTGAGGAACTGGTTTCCTCATTATTTTCAAATACATTCTTGAGCACCAAATTAAAGCTCCAGTGTTGAAACTTTTCAGAAACCTGTAAGAAGTGTTCTTCTAACTTCAACTTGTTGACATAATATTTTAGTTCAAAATATGTGAGGCATTTGTTCCTCACTTTTCTAAACCATTTTCTGTTACAAGATAGTTGCATAACTTGAAAAAAGATTTTATTTTCAATCATTTAGCATTAAGAATTTGGATTATGAACTAGTTTTGGTATCACTAGCATGATTTGTGCATACTACTGTGATGCAAATGAAGCCTTACCAAGTATGGGGTTGAATTCCTGTTGGTAGAAGCTGTGTTTTCCTCAAAATATTCCCTGTTGGACAGCAGAAATGACAAGTCTGAAGAGGTTAGCAACATTTTAAAAGTGCATCTGTGAATTGATTCATGTTACAAATAGAAATGGAAAAAAGCAATTAAGTGGGCTGAGTACAGGATTAATAATTTGCTTATGTGTTAAATGTCCCTCTGACTCGATTTTAGTAATTGTGTTGATGCAACTGAAAACTGAAGTTTGGTCTGTGGGCTGCAGAAGAGTGACTGGTACCTGCTGCTGGCTAAATATCTTAAAATATATTTTTCAAACCTGTTGTGTGTTTTTTCTAAGTATTTGTTCAGTGGCTGATGCCATCTCTGTGTGAAAGAAGCATGGTGAGAGAAGTCAGTGCTTGTTCTTACAAGAAAAATCCCATCAGCTGCTCTATGGTGGCTGAGTTTAAAGCCGGAAATCCTAACCTTTTGTTCTGTCTGTGCAGTTACGTCTAGTTCGGTAATTGGCGTGACCATGCTTTGTATGTGAGCATTGATAAGCTGATGAGACACAGATACATAACTGAGCACTTAACAGACAGATTTCATTTATGTGTGATACTATATTTGATTTGAAGATGCTTTCAAATGGTTTTGGGGTTTTTTATGGTATTGAAAGAGAAGTTGTGCTTCATGTGGGACTTCAAAATGTGCTATTGAATGAAGTGATATTATTGCAGTGCAGGCCTTGTATAAACTAAGCTTGAAATTAATTTTTCATTCAAGTGAGGATTTTCTTCTTAAACATTTTTAGAGAATATGCTATTTTTTCATGTTAAATCACAATATCTTTGGCCCAAATTGAATTTTTCTGATTAATTGAAAACAAAGGATATATTGTAAGATGTCAATTTTTACCTCATCCAAAATCAATTTCACAGTTGAATCAAATATATATTTCAAACTTTCTATATAATTCAAATAGAGGAATGCTA